AATATTGCCAGTGGGTGGAGTCAGGCTCTGACCAAGGGTTTAGTTACCCTTTAAATTTTATTATATTGTTGTTTGAGGTCAACTTATGATGTTCGCTTGGTTTTGAAGACTTGGAAGTAAACGCCCACTGCTGTGAGTAACAGTTTTGCATATTATAATGAGTTCAACAAATCCGTTGATGCACTTGGGGGAAATTGTTTTGAAAACGTCCAATGTTGTAAAATGGCAACCGGAATGATTCGCCCATACATGTACGACCCAGAGTCCATGTGTTGCACAATTCCTGTCAGATCAAAGATCAGCACAGCACCCTTCTTTACTCTTAATCGGTCTGCAAATCCAGTCTTGTTTACAAAACAATCCTCAGTGAAATGAAGGGAAGAGAGGGACAATGTTTTAAAAAATAAAGTTTATCCATGCAGTCCTACTGGAATCCAGAGGAAGTATATGCAGCGACTGTCTTCTTCCACAACCAGGCACTGCACAATATTTTGTATTGCTTGGTAGCTGGTTCCGGTTTGTCATCACGAGTAGGTCAATGTTATTTAGCTATGTTATTTAGCTCTGGCTGATGCCAAGTCTCAGTCAAACACATGATATTGATATTCCTGTCCAATATATGGCTTTGTATAAGACAAGATTATTTCCCTGCTGAAAAATCCAGCTAAAACCAGCCAAGGCTGGTTGGCTGGTTTTGGCTGGTCTCCCAGCCTGGTTATAGTTGGTTTATCAGGCTGGTTTTAGAGGGGTTTTGAACACTTTTTCAGCTAAGTCAGACTGGGAGACCAGCTTGACCAGCTAAGCCAGGCTGGGAGACCAGCTTGACCAGCTAAGTCAGGCTGGGAGACCAGCTTGACCAGCTAAGCCAGGCTGGGTGACCAACTAAAACCAGCTACTTCCAGCTTAAACCAGCTAAGACCAGCCAACCAGCCTAGGCTGGTTTTAGCTGGATTTTTCAGCAGGGTTGTAAGAGACCGTGTGTTAAACAGTTCTATTTGATGGAGTGGTGTACTGTAAAGAACGAAGTAGACTGAAATCCAAACCACGTTTTATGTTCCACTCCGTAGTGATGGGTTTTATGTAGGTATACTCTCAACGCTATTTATTCCAAGTAGAGAAGCGTTCTGATGACATAGATGCCGTGCAACAATTTGCTGGGCTGACCAGCGAGATGGAATGGAGTCACCAGACTGAGAGAAAACAAACTTTCTGCGGCAACTTCAATGGATGTAGTGGGGTCGCCTATGAAGTTTAGGTTGTTTAATAGCTGAGATATATGTTATTATATATATGCGATATACTGTATATAGACTGCTGTTATTCCAAAAATTAAGCAGTTGTGGGATGGAGTACTCTAGCACCATAGCGCTTCACAGAGTAAATCTGAAGATTGACCAGCCCATTGATATCCATAATAAAGGCTAGATGTTTCGTCTGCGCTACTGGCCAATGGAGGTCGACGTCTGCTCCTGGCAGCCATCTTGTCACAGGCAGCTCGCTCACTCATAACATTGTGTTTTAATGGTGTATGTACTTTTTAAATAACCATAACTTGCTCAATTTTCTACCGATTTTCAAACGGGCTGGTTTGTTTTAAATGTCAGAGATATAGTTACGACACTGCATACTTATGAATAATAAGTCTTTAAATAAATAATCATCCAGAAATATTGCCACGTTAATAATGTTTGTAAGAAACCAAACCATTTGTAAATCCGTCAAGATTTTAACGAGATAAGAGTATTTGTGTTCGTGCTGATCACTCATCTTACATCAGCATTCCTGTGACAAGATGGCCGCCGGTGATGACGATAGAGACTCCACCATAAGACATCTAGCCTTTATTATGGATATCTATGGACCAGCCTGCAGGCAAGTGGCTGCTTGCTAAGCCGGGGAGATGTTGATGCTGGTGTCGATGAGAAATATCAAGACCACAGGGCTAGTAAACAATAGTAAAAACTCTGATACGGCGGCTCATGCAGGTACAAGGCGAATTTATACGAAGGAGATTTCCAGTAACAAGAGGTGTGATAAAAAAATACATATAATTTGTTCAGAAAAATTCAAACTACTTCTGGTAGATAGCAGAAGTGACTTTGTAGAAAAAGAAGCTTGAAGGGAGAAGCAACAGACAGTGCCAGTGTCCTTTCCCGATTTGACTGCTGAATAAAATCTTTATGGTGCCCTGGTGGCCTGTATATAGAAGCCAGCAGAATTTTTCAAACGTGATTTATCGATTACACTATGTATTTTTACATTAAGCACCAACACTTCAAAAGAAGTATATTTAAAACTAGATTTCTTGGTGGTTTTAAAAATATTTATATAAATTACAGCAACACTTCCCCCTTTGCCTTTCAGACGAGGTTCATGTTTATGACAGTAATCTTGTGTGGTTGATTCATTTAAAGTAATGTAATCATTTGGTTTTAGCCAGGTTTCTGTCTAACACAGCATATCTAAATTATAATCTGATATATCATTAACATATCAGTGATTTTGAAGTAAGGGATTGAATATTTATCAACCCAAGCTTTATTATTTGCCCCTCTGTATTACAGTATATCTGTTTTTATTTGTTGAACATCAATTAAATTTTTAACCTGAGTTTTTTTTTGGATTTCCAAATTCGGGGCACAGACACAGTCTCTATATGGTGATATCTAGGTGAAAGAGGCTCTATGTGATGGGATTTATCTGACCTTGGTGACATGAGACGGCCGGTTTAGCCAGTCTGTCTGCTTCCATTTAAAATGGGACCATCAATTGTACAATCTCATTAAGATTTGTATTATTAAATATTCATGTTAACAGTATAACTTTAAAGTGCATCAACATAAAGATCAACACAAACTTTGTACTAATGTATTATTTTTGTTGACATAATCTATATTTTGTTAAAGGCATATATATGAATTGGTTATTGTCATTTCTAACAGCGTTAGTTATTTCTAAAAAGATTTAGTGGATTGCAATTTGCATAATGCTTTCAAATGTCTGTTTAATGCATATAAAGTGACCCTACAAATGATTTGTCATTATGTAATTATGTCAGTATGATTGTCATTGCATTAATTAAAAAAAGATCAATGATGCATCTTCAAATTAAAGTTGCAAGCAGCAAAGAAAGGGCTCTCGCACCTGCGCTATTGCCACTCGGTGACTTTAGGAAGACAGAGCATGGCTGGCAATGTGCTTTCAAGTAGGTAAATATAGGTGGAGTATGTCAAAGGGGATAATTTATTTGGTTCTTTATTGGGGACAATAGCATGTGTTAAGTATTTCTAGGATGTTTCTAGCATGTTTAGAACTCAATGGCATATTTAAAGGATCACTCCACCTCTGGAAAGATGAATGTGTATTTAAAATGGGTAATTTATGTAGAAGAAATGTGAAATTATTTTTGAATTTGGAGCTTTCTAGACTGAGAAAAGACAGAAAATGTTATTTTGGCTTATGTGGATGAAAGACAACAACTCCCAGAATGCACTTGCTTCGCTGCCCTAGGAGGTAGTGATGGGAAGTTCGGTACTTTTCCATGAACCGGTTCTTTCGGACAGTTCGTTTCAATGAACCATTTCAAAAAACTGGTTAATCATTTATTTTATGTCCTCATGTAATGACGTCAATTCTATCATCCCGGCGGATCAAAATACATTCAAATAAAGGCATTTGTAATCATAACTTGAGTTAAATAATAGTACTTATCGTTATAATCCTCTTGGATAAGTTTCTTACATGATCTGTGATTGGTCTGTTAGCGCATTAGGCCCAACCCCTATGGGCGAGTTTGAAAGGGTGAGATCTAGTGCTTGTAGTCTTTACAGAAATCCCCCCCTCTCTTACACTTCCTCCTACAATGACATAAAATGATGATTTTTGTGTCATTGTAGTAGGAAGTGAAAAAGGTAAATAGCAGATTTCTCTCATCTCATGGGAAAATGAGAGAGTGTTGCATGACCATTCAGTAGTACAGTGGTTCTCAATCCTGGTCCTGGGGACCCACTGTTCTGCACATTTTATTTGTCACCTTTATCGGACACAGCCAGTTCAGTTCATAGAGCTCTTTCCTAACAAGCTGATGATCTGAATCAGGTGTGTTAAATGAGGGAGACAGAAGCCGTTTCTCAATACCAAGTACGCAAAGTTCGGACTTGCGTCCTTGGTAGTTCAGACTTGCCAAGTTCGACTCCGGAGAACAAACTCCCGAGGACGAGAGGACGCAAGTCCGGTTCTTCTGCAAATGGAACAGAGCGTACTTGATCGCGTCACTCAGCAGCACGCTCCGGCTACTCCGGTTATCTCTTTATATTTTAGGCAACAATAAAACGAAATATGCTACAACTCTGCATCTTTTCGTCAACAATAAAACGAAATATGTTATAAAACACCACTCTGCCTCTTTTCATTATAAAAAAAAATCAAATCAACTAATTAGCCTAATGGCCATGTGGTTCAGACAACGCGATTCTCTTCACTGCCTATATTGTTATGTGGATGGCTGATGAACCCAATAGCAGACAGCAGATGACGTGCAAAGGGTTTATTTGTGACAAACAGGAAAAATAAAACCCACGAGGGGGCAAAACAAGGCAGGGTAGAACACACCAGACTAAGACTTAAACTAAGACAGGAACAAAACTACAACATGAACAGACTCTTCTCAAATAACAGCTTACTAAAAGAATTACTCACAGCTTGAAACATGCAACGTCAAACAATGAACCGACACAGGACAGCAAACACAAGGGGATTAAATAGGGAACACTAATGACGAGGACAGGTGAAACTGACTAGACAATGAAGCACTAGACGAGGATAACAAGGGGGCGGGGTAACTTAACGAGACAACACAAGCACATGGCCCACACAGGCCATGCGCTTGTACACAAAACATGGGTCTGTCATGATCCTGCCACAAGACCAGGAAAAATCTAAGACATGATGGCAGAATCATGACAGAACCCCCACCTTAAGGAGCGGCTTCCAGACGCTCCTCAAGGAGACATCAAACATGGGACAAGACCGACTGGGACAAAGACAAGAACCAACAATACATAACAAATAATAATAAGGGCATACAAGAATAAACAATGAAAGGATTGGGGTGAAACATCAAAAACATCATACAGGGCAGAGGGGGTGGAGGAAACACAATGTCTTTGCGTGACAGTCTAGGGTGGGTGGGTGGGACAGAGGTCCTGGGACCACAGGGAGTGGGCTTAGGACGAGAGGACCGAGCGGGCTTGGGAGGAGTGGTGTGGGACAAGGGAAAAACAGTCCGGGGTTGAGCCATGACAGGGGAAACAAACGGAAGTCCAGGAACAGTGGGGACAGGGACAAATGGGGAAACAGACCGGGAATTAGAGGAGCCAGGGGAGACCAGAACAGACGGGGATGCAGTCTTAGTGGCAGCTGGCCTGGGATCAGCATTTAAGTCAGCTGGCTTAGGACCAGCGCTCACTGCAGTTGGACTGCGATCACAACTCTCACTAGATGACTTGAGAACGGTGCTCTGTGCAACAGGCTTGGGATCAGTGAAGACAGCAGCTGGCTTGAGATCTGTGCTCGGTGTAGCAGACTTGGGATCAGTGAAGACTGCAGCTGGCTTGGGATCTGTGCTCGGTGTAGCAGACTTGGGATCAGTGAAGACTGCAGCTGGCTTGGGATCTGCGCTCTGTGTAGCAGACTTGGGATCAGCGAAGACTGCAGCTGGCTTGGGATCTGTGCTCTGTATAGCAGACTTGGGATCAGCGCTGACAGTTTCTGGACTGGGATCGGCGCTCTCTGGAGCATTTGAAACAGGGACTGGGGACGAGACAGGACTGACTGGGACATCAAGAATTCTGGCCAGACGGGATAAATACTCGGACAGGGTTCTGGCAGCGATGATGACTGGCATCTCCTGATGAGCCGAAACGGACTGTACCACAGCCCTTGCAGCGGAATCGACTGCTGCTCTCTCTTCTGCAGACACGGCAGAAGACTCAGAGACGACATTCACAGTACAAGTCTCTGGAATGGATCTCCCCAACGCCGACTGGGAAAAGGCGCTTTCTGCAGCAGGTTGTAGAACGGAATCTCCTGTTGCAACAACCGGAGCCACGCTTACAGCAGCGGGACAGGGAACAGCGCTTCCGACTTCAGCGGCGGGTTGGAGAGCCATCACGGGCTCAGGAGGGGGTAGAGACGGAGAACCAGAAGGTCCTTTCCTCCTCTTCTTCCTCCTGGGTCGTGGGGCGGAGTAGGTAGCCAGACTAGTGACCGGAGAGGAGGGTGAAACAGGAACTGTTACCGGAACAGGTGAGCTCACTGCAGGCGAGGAGGATTCCGGGCAGGAAGACTCTGATGCTGACTCCCATGACGGGTGCCTTCCACGCTTACCATGAAGACTGATGGACGTGGAAGGTGTCTCAGGAGTCGCGGCAAGACTGGGTTGGTCCCCAAGTGTAGCAACGGCTAACAGACGACCCTCAGGGATCACAGGAAGTGTAGCGGAAGATGAAGACCTTGTAGCACCCCGCAGCTCCCTCTGTGACAGACTGTCCACCATCTTGTGGAACGGGCGGCTGACCAGTCTCTCACGTTCAGCTAGAGGAGGATGGACGTTAAGACCCGCGATGAAGTAGCGGTTGACCAGAATCTCCGGCAAGAAAAACCTCCTCTTCTCCACGACCTGGGCGTACTTCCTCAGGGTCAACTCTCCCTGAGGAGGGAAAGGAAGCTTGCCTTCCAGGCTGTCGGTGATGGCCGACTGCCACCATCGTTCGGGGTCTGACGACTGCAGAGTAGGATAAATAGGCTTGCTGTCTGCTGGGTCTCTTGTTGGTCGGTTCATTCTGTCATGTGGATGGCTGATGAACCCAATAGCAGACAGCAGATGATGTGCAAAGGGTTTATTTGTGACAAACAGGAAAAATAAAACCCACGAGGGGGCAAAACAAGGCAGGGTAGAACACACCAGACTAAGACTGAAACTAAGACAGGAACAAAACTACAACATGAACAGACTCTTCTCAAATAACAGCTTACTAAAAGAATTACTCACAGCTTGAAACATGCAACGTCAAACAATGAACCAACACAGGACAGCAAACACAAGGGGATTATAGGGAACACTAATGACGAGGACAGGTGAAACTGACTAGACAATGAAGCACTAGACGAGGATAACAAGGGGGCGGGGTAACTTAACGAGACAACACAAGCACATGGCCCACACAGGCCATGCGCTTGTACACAAAACATGGGTCTGTCATGATCCTGCCACAAGACCAGGAAAAATCTAAGACATGATGGCAGAATCATGACATATATTAACAAAATGAACATGATCTTTTTGTTTTCATTTTAAAAATATGAAACATTGATTTTTATTGACATTTATCAAACAGAGACAGGGTTATATCATTTTATTTTATTGTTCACATAGTGAAGATAATATGAAAAATGTTGTTAAAGTTAAATAGCCATAAAGTTATGAAACCTCAAAAATGATTTTTTTTTTTTTTTGCCATGGAACTAACTATAGTTTAATGAGACCAAAGATAGACTTACACAAGAGACATACACAAGATGAATTGTACGTCAAGTTTATCATATTCACTAGACCAGAGGGATCAGAGCCAGCGGCAAACGTCAGAAGCACTAGCCGGGGATAATCTGTTCCAGTCGGGGTTGATCTCGCTGAGTGTCCGCTGAAGGCTTGGATGTCAGAACTCCGAAAACGTCAGATGCTTTTTTCAAATAGGCGCTATTTTTATAAATAAATTACAGATTTGAGTTTAAAACAACCACATTCTTGCCTGAAACACTCTTAAAATTACATTTCATGACTCAATAATAGTAGTATTTTCAATAACAATAGATTTTCTCCTCTCCTATTGATGCTTGCTGGTTGGTGCGAGGTGCATTCTGGGTTACCTGGCTATCTCAAGTCCGCACAAGTCACCTCTCGATGCATCCTCGGTAAACGGGGCGGATCAAGAACACATCCGGGGATTTGAACTGGACTTGGCTAGATGTAAACTTTGAATTGGAACAGTACTTGGGCAGCGACTGATGACGTTTCACAAGTCCACAAGAACACAAGTACAGACAAGAACGCATATTGAGAAACGGCAATACACACTGTGCAGACCTTTTGATCCCCATGACCAGGATTGAGAACCACTGCAATAGTATAACTGGGTTTCTAACAATGGAAATCTTAACGCAAATGGGTGGAGTGACCCTTTAAAGGTTGTATCAGCGATTGTGGGTGACATCATTTCTGTTTGTGTTTGAAGCGAGATCCCAAACAAACCAAGTTAGCTCACCCATTCCTCCCATTTCGTGCATCATGGAAAAACTCACACACTAAATCCCTAACATCTCATATTTGCTAGAGCTATCCAAGTTTATTCTCCAAGCTTCAGTCATATTTTATAAAGAATTATATTTTCACACACAGTTCACAAACAAAAAAGTCAGCACTAGAAGCTACTTAACTGTCCAGAAGAAACAGTGCAACCTTGGCATCAGATTTTTTCAATTCTTTGAGTTCTCTCCACTGTTCAAAAGCCTTCCCGATTATTTTTCGTTTCTTTGATGAAAGACGATGGTATTCACTAGCCCTAATCCTCCTTCTCTTCTTGGGGATTACCTCTTCCATGTTAAATGTATCTGGTCCGTTGATAGCATAGGGTTGATAGACGCTGGCTTATTCTTCAGCTCCGACTTTGCGTGCAGGCGCCATGCACGAGCACAAAAACAAACGTGGTGATTGGTTAGAACACTGTTTATTTTGATTTTGAGTGGTGGTTGTACCCATTTGTTTTTGTGTGCAGATCAAGGCAGACCTAGGCTGCCTACAGAGACACGTTTTTTTTTTTTTTTTTTTTGACAGCTTGCTTATGGGGCGGGCAGCTAGCTGACCGTTAGGAAAGTTTAGACGAATGTGATCATTTTTGTTTAGAAATCCTAAAATCCCTAATACAACCTTTAATATGTTGGTAGTACTACATTGTTAAATACGTCACTTCTTGTTGCCAGATGGTGGCGCTATAACTATATTTTGGAATATGTATTCAGACTTGGACACTTATAAAACATGTTACATATGGAACACATTGGAAATTGCATGCTTAAGTTACAACAACTTCCTTTTGCATCTGTAGTATGTGTTAGCACTTAGCGAAGTGTTTGTTAGCATTTTAGTATGTTGTTAGCATGTTTGGCATTTGGTGGCACTTTTTTATGTTTATTGGGAGTCCACAAAAGTGTTAAACATGTCACTTCCTGTTGCCAGCAGATGGCGTTAAGACTAACTAAATTTGAGCAGGGATGTGTTCAGGAAAGAACTCTCATCAAACATGTGAAGTTGTTTCCTGTTGCCAGCAGATGGCGTTATGACTAACTAAATTTGAGCAGGGATGTGTTCAGGACAGAACTCTCATCAAACATGTGAAGTTGTTTCTCCAAAGTAGAAAGTTCTTTCACCCATGCAAGAAAACACTGGAATAAAAAGGTCCATTGAAGGTCCAAAAAGGAGTAGCCCAAGAAACCAATGGGCTATATGCACGCATAATTTCTGCATTTGACGCAAGGATGCTCGTCCATTTCCGGTTGCGGAGGAAAGCGGAGGAAAACCGAGGAAAACGGGATTATGGCAGAGTCTTCAAAATTTACTGTCCTCCCCTCTTTGAAACAAAACGTAAATACTTTTAGATGTAATTTTTCATATAGTTATGTTTATTTAATATAATTTATTTAATATAATTTTAAAAAGAAGCATAAACACAACGAGGGGAGTCTGTTTTAACTGTTTTTGTGGAATATATAACCATGGAATATAAAATTCAATATAAATTATCGGTATTGCATTGGACTCTACGATCGGATATGACTCTATGTACTCCTTCACCGGAAATACCGCCGTGCATAGAGCCCATTGACTCTGTGCGCGAGAAAAATGCTAACTTCCGCCTTGAGGGCGGATGTTGGGTACTTCGGTTCCGGGAGCCGTTGTTTACATCCTACATCAGTGGACCAGCTATCTAAAGCTTAGCTATCTAAATATATTTGTCTAAAACTATGTTCGTTTGTTCATTGTCAAGTCAACCAACACAGTTTTCACTGATATTTGGGTGCTGCTGCATTGTGAAAAGTAAACGATATTTCACATTTTGTCACCGCACCCAAGCAGTCGCTTTACAGAGTGGAGCGTTGCGTATCCATGACAACTAGAAGGAAGTTTTTTGGCTACTAATTACCCACATGGAAAAAACCTATATAAACATATATGTTTTTAATATATGTGACATATATAAAATTGGCCGTTTTCCTATATTATATGTACATATATGCACATATATGTACATATATACGTGCATATATGTACACATATATACGCACCTATATAGGTACATGTATGCACACATATATGTACACGGTAACACTTTAGAATACGGTTCCTTCGTTAATGAATAACTACACAAGAACTAATGAGTAACACAATATTAACAATCTAGTAACTATTATTAACTAACAAGAAACTCTGATTAACGAACTAGTAAGTAATAGCGCACAGACGAAAGTGGTAGTTCACTATTAAGTAATCAATAACTACTATTTTTTTAATACTTCCCAGAGAACTACTGAAAAAGTTTATTAACAATCTAGTAACTACTATTAACTAAAACAAACTCTTATTAACAAATTAGTAAGTAATAGCTCACAGATGAAAGTGTTACTAGATACTTCTGTGGGAATTACTAATTATTTGGATTCGTATTATAAAGTGAAGATCATTGGAACTAACTAGTAATTACTCAAGTGTTACTAAAGACATTTTCTAAAAGTATACTAAAGTTCACCAAAAATCTCAAATGTTTGCACAAATCATGACTAGATCATGTAGTAACACTTGAGTCATTACTAGTTAGTTCCAATGATCTTCACTTTATAATACGGATCCAAATAATTAGTAATTCCCACAGAATTATCTAGTAACACTTTCATCTGTGAGCTATTACTTACTAATTATTTGGATCTGTATTATAAAGTGAAGATCATTGGAACTAACTAGTAATTACTCAAGTGTTACTACATGATCTAGTCATGATTTGTGCAAACGTTTGAGATTTTTAGTGAACTTTAGTATACTTTTAGAAAATGTCTTTAGTAACACTTGAGTAATTACTAGTTAGTTCCAATGATCTTCACTTTATAATACGAATCCAAATAATTAGTAATTCCCACAGAAGTATCTAGTAACACTTTCATCTGTGAGCTGTTACTTACTAATTCGTTAATAAGAGTTTCTTTTAGTTAATAGTAGTTACTAGATTGTTAATAAACTTTTTCAGTAGTTCTCTGGGAAGTATTTAAAAAATAGTAGTTATTGATTACTTAATAGTGAACTACCACTTTCGTCTGTGCGCTATTACTTACTAGTTCGTTAATCAGAGTTTCTTGTTAGTTAATAATAGTTACTAGATTGTTAATGTTGTGTTACTCATTAGTTCTTGTGTAGTTATTCATTAACGAAGGAACCGTATTCTAAAGTGTTACCATGTACACATATAGGTGCATATATGAACATGTATGCACGCATATATGTACACATATAGGTGCATATATTTGTGCATATATGAACCTATATATGTACATGTATGCATGCATATATGTACACATATAGGTGCATATATACATGTACCTATATATGTACATGTATGTACGCATATATGTGCACATATAGGTGCATTTATACATGCACCAACATGTTTACCTATATTAGAATAATTATTAAAATCCATAGCTACTAGGCAACATAAATAATAGTCCAAAATGTATGCATTTAGATTATTTATTTACTTAAGATCAAATAGTACAAAAACAAAAATAAGACAAAAAAACTGGATAGAAAAAAAATCTTTTTGATCTTCTCAGCTCCATGAGCTTTGAATTGATAGACGTGCCCATCTCCCCTCGGCTGGCTGACGGACACTTCTTCAATGTAGCATCTAGAGAAGACAAAAATAATAATAATAATAAGAAGAAGAAGAAGAAGAAGAAGAAGAAGAAGAATATAGTACTTCATCAGGAACCCAAAGTGCTTACAGTACAGATGTGATCGGACACATATTTTTTGATAAAAGGTTGATCATTTTAAAAAATGCGTCATGTAAACATGTCAATTGGAAGATTCTGAAGATTCTGAAAAATCTGAAACGTGGCTTAAGAAAAGGAAAGTTAGGATCAAGAACTGAGCAAGCGATGAATTAGTATTATAGGTTCCAAGTAGATATAGTAACAATAATCCCTTATACAGTTTCCATTGATGCCTAATAAACATTGATACAAGTAGGCTATGGTTAAAGTGGTGAACTTATAAAATCCTAATGCGTTGAGAAGGGAAAACAAAACTTTTATACATTTACTCACCAATAATGATGCCTTTTTAATTTGGTCAAGGGCGACCAGCTGCTCCCCATCCCCTCTGGTTGGCTTCCCACCTTAAAGTAAAATTTCAAAATTATTATAAAAGGGGGTTAAAATGAAGCTTGTGAAAGCAATACTTTTTTTATATACACATCACATTTTCTTGAGGTGCAAGGAAATACAAAAATGGCAAGTAAAAAAGCGATGGTATGCCCGCACACAAACATAATTTATTCCACAGAATATTAATTGTTTTTTACGGACAGAAGAGATTAGGAAATGTTTTGTACCATTCAGGTTGTTTTTCAGCAAAGTCTCCAGATCAAATGTGCCCAGCAGCAGATTCCACACCATGGCAGTAGCAGAGGTGGCAAGGAGGGCTGCTTTCCACACTTCTGCCTGGCAAAAGACCCCAGAGCCCTTTATAACTTCAATCTGAAAAATAATTTATTCATTTATTGGCATTGTTTCATATTGATTCTTATGCTTAGCTTCCCAATAGTTTATATGTTTTTATGTATGAATGCAGATTAATGATAAAGAAACAAAATAATAATATTACACAAAATAATAATATGAAACAAATTAATAATTGCCCTAAATGTTCTTAAAGGAGAGGAGGAGGAGGATAGGGTGTCGGGGTAGGGATGGGGATATTTATTAATAAATAAATAAAAATTCAAGGGGGTTACTCACCGGTTGCACTTTTCAAAAGAGGAGGAATCTAAATCCTCAACAGGACTCCTTCCAGTCTTGTTCATAGAAGAAAAATAAAAGTTATTCTCTTCAATAAATTAAAGTGCAAATAACTTAAATCAAATAATTAACACTATCAATCAGCCCAACATCACAAGTCTCTACAGCTCTGCTAGAGAAACAATTTTAAAAAGCAAAATCAGAGGAACTTACCTTTTTGAGCAATAATGGCGAGGTAACTTTTCATTTGAGGTAATTCTAGAAAGAGGTTATATAAAGAAAAAAAAAAACAATTACAATCACTTAATCAAAATAGTAATGCCCTAACGTTAATGTTTACTATTTGAAAGACATTTCCTGCAACTGTAAAGGCAAGCCCATTGATATGGCTCTTTCTTTCACCAATTTCGACCAAATTCAAACTCCACAGGTATTTTTTTTTTCTGGAGCCGATTGCCTTCTTGAGCCGTTGGCAGAGAAGTATCATTTATTCTCATGACGTTATGTTCTCTAGGCCATGACTTTTGTTAACCCTCTACGAATTCCTCCAGAAAGAAACAAATAAATACACGTTAATTCTAAATTGAATCTTATCAACGGCTAAGTTATTTTAGCACCCACAGTAACGTTACGTTACCTCACCAGCTAACAACATAGGAAGTGTATGGGCTGAAACAGGTGTGTTTGGCAAAAAATAAATGCTAAGTTTATACTTCTCTGCCACCGCAATTTCCACCCTGCAAATAAATATAAAATTAGGAATACTTACGATTGGTGATAAGTAGGACTTAGAGGATCTCCAATGCTGAAATCGCAATTTTTACTCCCAGCCGTTATCTTCCGGCGCGAAACTTGACTTCATCTCATCGGATACGGATAACGTCAAGCGTTAGGCGGGTGACGTCATCAACTACGGGGCGCTGTAGCGGCCAATCGGCAGTGCAGCAGCATTCGAATTTATTAACCACTGTGAATTGCTCAGATAGATGGTGGGATGATGATGATTATTTGAATGTACGTTCTATTCACTTTTTTTTTTTTTTTTTGCTACATTTTGACTGTAATGACCTTTCAGCCAGAAAAAAAAACTGCATTCAGACAATACAGAAAACATTGCAATTTGCATTGCATTTGGTGGATGTATCGGTGAATGTGTGGATGTGTATGGGAAAGTGACTTGAAATTGGAAAAAGGGCTTTTTGGTAAAATGAAAAAACAACAAACCCTTTTGTTATACATTTCCTTCTTTTCCCCTAAGTCATTCTGATATGTATATAAATATTTATTTATTTATTTGAGCAATATAGTGACATATACATACACTCTAAAAATGCTTTGGGTCAAACATGGACAAACCCAAATGTTGGGTTAAAAATGCAATTAAAAAAATGTACAGTTGAAAAAGTGAAAGTGAAAGTTGAATTTGGGTTAAAATTTGAAATTACATTTTTAACCAAACATTTGGGTTTGTCCATATTTCACCCAAATTTGGGTTCAAACAACCCAGCATTGTTAAGAGTGGATGAGCTACAAATGACCAGATCCTGCCATGAGCTACAGTATAGGATACTCTTGTATATAGCACTTATGTGTGGATATAAAGAAGCAATGCAGGAGACCTATATGGCCTGTATATGCACATATATGCACCTAAAATTGCCTATATGTGTCATATATACACACATATGCAGCATATATCTTATCATATATGTGCATATATGCACCTAAAATTGCCTATATGTGTCATATATACACACATATGCAGCATATATATTATCATATATGTGCATACTGTATATGCTGTATATATGCAGCATATATGTGCATATAAACTGCATATAGGTTTCATATATGCGCATATATCCCCATATAGTTTCTTTCCATGTGGGTATTTATTATATTATACCCTTTAACCAGGAGAAGCCCTTGGGTTTAGAACCTATTTTGCAAGGGAGACCTGTTTAGAAATATGTGTGAACAGCCTAATATGTGTTAAACAGCCTAACTTGTTAACGAACGAACCAACGTCGGATACCTTTACTCCCTGTATGACATGTATAGTGGTTGTCAACACTGATCTATATGACATTCTATATAGATAGTGGTTGTCAACAACATAGCCTCTGAACATCATAAACAAAACAATGGCCAACACAAACTGTTCTGGAAAATGCACTTTCTAACGCATGATTTCGCATTTTATAATGTATAGAGAGATATACCAAATCGCATAGCTTGAGCACGTAGCATGGCAACATTAATGTCCGAGTGATTCCACGTGTACCGCGTATGTACACGCCGTCAAATGTCCGAGCGAAACAAAACAAAATGTAGATCTACATCTGGGGAGCGATATTTATTTTTTCCTAGGATGGTAGGAGTGACGGGTAGGTTGGGGTTGAGGTAGGTCATATGCTCTATATATATATATATATATATATATATATATATATATATATATACATACAATAATAACGTTAAGTCAACGGTATTCATAAACACGCTGAAAAGAGATTATGCGTGTTGATAGCATGCCAAAAATACGTGACGTGTCATACATACGCAATTTCATGAGATCAGTCTGAGCATGGATGTTGTTGTGACTTAACGTTCCCTTCAAAATTATGCAAATACTGAGAAATGTAATATTTAAACCCCTTCTCTCTTGCTCTGGGGAGCTGGAGGAAAATCATTAGCCAGTCGATGAACATAATCGACTGTAATATCGGCAAATGTTCAAGACATCTGGAGAAACATACATTCTCTACGTCGTCCATCAGGCTACCGGAAACTAGACACCCCATATCGGTTTCGCAGCTGGAACTAGCATATGCTAACGTGCACATAGTCCATTGCTTCCTCTATCCACATGCTTGCCTACTTCTTCAGGTATAGTACCTGGTTAAATACTCATCTATGAAGATGATTGGCGCCCCCTAATGGTATAGAGAAATACAACATCTAAGGCAAGGGTGCCCAACCCTGCTCCTGCTGATCGACTCTCCTGCACAGTTCATCTCCAAATCAAACAATGGGCTATATGCACGCATAAGTTCCGCATTTGACGCAAGGATGCTCGTCCATTTCCGGTTGTGGAGATTTAAGCGGAGGAGAACCGAGGAAAATGGGATTATGGCAGAGTCTTCAAAATTTACTGTCCTCCCGTCTTTGAAACGAAACGTACATACGTTTAGATGTAATTTTATATATAGTTATGTTAATTTAATATAATTTTAAAAAGAAGCATAAACACAACGAGGGGTGTCTGTTTTATCTGTTTTTGGGACTAATGTTTCTTTATTATAACCATGGAGTATAAAATTCAATATAAATTCTCGGTATTGCATTGGACTCTACGATCGGCGGAAGTTATCGATCATCCTTAATCCTTCACCAGAAATACCGCCGTGCATAGAGCCCATTGCCTTTAATTTTCAAGTGATCCTGATAACCTTAATTGGTTGCTTCAGGTGTGTTTGATTAGGGTTGGAGATAAACTGTGCACGACAGTCGATTGGCAGGAGCAGGGTTTGGCACACCTAATCTAAGGTAACAGAGTTAAATCTGTTACAAACTTCCTTTAACATTTCTAGCATGCTTTAGAACTTAGCTAAGTGTTGCTAGCATGTTTTAACTTGTTTCTTCCAAGACTGTATATGTTATATATATAAAATTCATATAATAACATATATATTATATAGTTATAATATATATATTTTTATTTATATATATATATATATATATATATATATATATACACACAGGGGGGCCAAAATGTATTTAGTGAGCCACTGATTGTTCAAGTTCTCCTACTAAGAATAATGAGAGAGGTCTGTAATTAGGTACACTTCAATTATGAGAGACAAAATGAGAGAAAAATTCCAGAAAATCACATTGTAGGATTTTTAAAGAATTTATTTGTAAATTATGATGGAAAATAAGTATTTGATCAATGACAAAAGTTCAACTCAATACTTTGTTTGCAGATTTGCACACACTGTAGTATTTTGGCCCATTCCTCCATGCAGATATCCTCAAGAGCAGTGATGTTTCGGGGCTGTCGCTGGGCAACACAGACTCCACAAATTTTCTATGGGGTTGAGGTCTGGAGACTGGCTTGGCCACTCCAGGACCTTGAAATGCTTTTTATGGAGTCACTCCTTCGTTGGCCGGACGTGTGTTTGGTATCAAGAACCAGCCACGTTTCATCTTCAAGGCTCTCACTGATTGAAGAAGGTTTTGGCTTAAAATCTCACGATACATGGCCCTGTTCATGCTTCCCTCGTACAAATCAGTTTCCATTTCCCCTTTGCAGAAAAACAGCCCCAAAGCATGATGTTTCCTCCCCCATGATTCACAGTAGGTATGGTGTTCTTGGGATGCAACTTTGCATTATTCTTCCTCTAAACACGACGAGTTGAGGTTTTACCAAAAAGTTCTGTTTTGGTTTCATCTCACCACATGATATTCTCCCAATCCTCTTCTGGATCATCCATATGCTCTCTGGCAAACTTCAGGCGGGCCTGGACATGTACTGGCTTAAGCAGGGGGATACGCCTGGCACCGCAGGATTTGAGTCCCTCACGGCGTAGTGTGTTACTGATGTTAGCCTTTGTTACTTTGGTCCCAGCTCTCTGCAAGTAAGGTTCATCAGGTTCCTCTGTGTAGTTCTGGGATTTTTCCTCACCGTTCTCATGAACACTTTGACCCCACAGGATGAGATCTTGCGTGGAGCCCCAGATCGAGGGAGATTATCAGTGGTCTTATATGTCTTCCATTTTCTTCCATTTGCTCCCAGTTTTTTTTTTGTTTGTTTGTTTGTTTGTTTGTTTGTTTTTTCACGACAAGCTACTTGCCTATTGTAGATTCACTCTTCCCAGCCTGGTGCAGGTCTACAATTTTCTTCGTGGTGTCCTTCGACAGCTCTTTGGTCTTGGCCATGGTTGAGTTTGGAATGTGACTGTTTGAGGCTGTGGACAGGTGTCTTTTATACAGATAATGGGTTCAAACAGGTGCCAATAATACAGGTAACGAGTGGAGGACAGAAGAGCTTCTTAAAGAAGAAGTTACAGGTCTGTGAGAGCCAGAAATCTTGATGGTTTGTGGGTGACTAAATTAAAAATTGAAAACTAGAAAAACGCAGAGAACTTTGAGCTGAGTGGATCTTTTCTAATGCAAGTGCTGGCGTCAAAGAACATAGGACAACAGGTCAAAGGACAATGCCAAGATGCTGTACTGTTTGCCGTATATTTTCTAAATCAACAGCCAATTGATGAATACAGTACATGCTCTGAACTGTATGAAGTCAGACACAGCAACTGTATGAAGTCAGTTATCTTCATGTTCACAGGTGTTCTATCAGTAGTTCAACACAATTGAGGGGCTATTTACACAACACCATTTTCAACTAAAAATGTAAAACTTATGCGTTTTGGCCATTAATATACTTGACAACAGCGTTTTGGGTGCCTGAAAACACAACCATATTTTTTACCCAACTGAAAAAATGTCACAATAGGGAATTATAGGAAATGCAGTCTATGTGCTATAAATGGTTACTGGTGAAAATGTTTAACACTTTGAATCGACTTTTTGAATTCTACTGGGTTCTTTTTGGACATGACTGTTTGATTTCACACATTCCTTTTATCAGCTCACTGAAGTGAAAAGAAAGGTTATAGTGTCTTTCTGAATAGCCGCTGCTGGACCAGTGCTGCTATTACTTGAAGAAAAAGAAAATAAGATGCTGTCTAGTTGATTGCACACTTTGAGAAGAACTGGCTTGACATTAACTGCAGAGAGCATGTAAATGTTTCTGCTGTTATTTACTGGCATGCAAAATTGGATTTTTATCAGTAGCAATTTATTTGCTCTTCAGAAGCACCACAAATACAAAGGTCCATAAATATTTATTTCACCTTAAACTATTTTGGTACCTCATATTTTAATTAGGGGAACATTTAAAAGATATTTAAGATGAGCAATCTTTAAGTCAACTGGAAATCCCCTCTCACAAATCATTT